GGGCAGATATTTCTTCGATGTTACAAGTTATTGTTTTGTTTTTGAGTTGCTTTGTTTAAGATTTTTATATATTTTTTATACGAATAAAAATATAGATAACTTCTCTCAAAATTAATGTTTTTTGGGATGAAAGTCACTTGGTCGCAAAGTTACTTTATGGTTTAATTTAATATGCAGGTATCAAAAGATTACTTCTGACACCAGATTAGATTTTTGAGGTGGAACAAATGGCCTATACCTTTAAGTCAGTTTTTAAAATCCTCTGAAAATAACTTAGCTCCGTTCAACACCTGATGATTCACCTAAAATAAAATTTATGGGAATAATAAGAGTTGTGTTCATAAAAAATCTGAAAAGAAATCTTAAAACTTTTTTTTGCCCGAGTTTAGGAAACTTGGAAACTCATTTACCAAAATATCGAACGGTAAATATAATTTGAGTTCCTAAATTCCTATTTCTAAAATTTTCAATACTAGTATCGTAATCAATGACTATAATGTTTATCTTATTATAAAATTGTATTAAGTTTATATAAAATAAAAATTTCTTAAGAATATTGAAAATAAAATATTGTATTTCACTTTTTACTATCGAAAAAAACTCATTTTTATCCCGGGTTTCCGAAACTCACATATGCGTTCCAGTTATATTTCCAACATTATTCACATGCCATACTTTGGCATTCCTTATCATACTTTTGTTCCTACAAAGGAATAAAACGACTCTAACTTCAGGAATGTTTCTACGAATAAATAATACCATTCTTAAAAAAAAAAAGAAAAAAAAAAAAAAAAAGGGAATGAAGTTAAGCGTTATTTAATTTTTCAGATCCATCTTGAAATGTTTCAGTTATTTGATAGAATTATAATATTCGAAGGTTCATATATTTCATGTATCTGAAGGCTCAAATGTTTCAGATCTATTAGAAATAGATTTAATTAAATGTAAGCCAAATTATAAAAGCCAGAACAGCATATAATATAATATTCTAAATTATTAATTTATATATTATATATTTCTCGAACCTTATACAAAGCGATACGTATATTCTGTTGAACATGGATCTAATGTTAGCTATGAAACATCTTATACGTATAAATGAGGTATTATATCAATATATTTATGAAATTAAATTTATTTCTAACTATCAAACAAAAATAACGAAACTGTACGTTTTGTATATATATTTAATTTCACAAAAAAAGTATAACATATCAAAATAGATTTTAGAAATAAATAAATAAATTGATATATCAACATGTTTATTTACCTAATAGGCCAATTTTGTTATCGAATATTTGTGAAATTATGATTAAAAAAAATGTATTTAGTTTTTTTTTAATTTAAATGATTCCATTGTATTAAAAACATGTCGGTTATATATAAAGTATATATATATAAATTTTAACATAATTTATTGATACAATTTGTTTTTTCCTGAGTTAAAACATATTTAAGCAATGTGATTTTTTCTGTACTAGACAAAACTTTATAAATTTAAATTTATAAAATTTAACAAACTAAGTTATACAAGTTCTTCCGAATAAAATAACTATGCCTCAACCTTTTATTATACTGTTTAGTCATTATTTTTTTATATAATTGTTCAATGCTTACATAATAATTCATTGAAACCGTACAGTGACAGGAACGATTTACGTTTTGTTTACTTGAAATATTTAGAATAAAAATAAAATAGTATCCCATTGGCACACAATGAAGTCACAAATCACAAACAATGTCAAATAAATAAAAATAACACAGTTCAGTTATGTAAATGAACAATTTATGCTTTGAAAGTATACATATATAATATTACCAATCATTTACATTGTTGCGTTTCTCTCAGTTATCGATTTGTTATCTTATTCAGTGTTCGTAAAAAAAATAAATAAAGTTATAATAATAAAAACAATAATTGTTTTATAGACAACACACCTAGTGGTGACAATTACTATGCGTTTTAATTTTAATAAGCCAAAGTTATTTCTAAAACCTCATACATAACATATTCAAAAACGAAATTTATTTCCTATCACACAATAAGATTCGAAATTGTATGATATAGAGCGGGTTAGAAAAACAAGCTATATATTTTGAGAATAAGCAGAGATAAGAAAATATAAACTGAGTTGCACTATCTCGGACCATCGCCCTCCCTTAATGGCCTTAGACAAATAATGCTATTCACCCAATTCCATTTAGGGGCGATAAAAATATATTTTATTACATTATTACACTAAAATCGGGGTCGGTTCCTTTACTGTAAAGTTCGACGAATCATCGACGTCGTTATAATATATAAATTGAACCATTTATCAATTATTTTAAAAGGTAAATTATACTTAATAATTCTCATTATTACTTCAGGAAATTCTTTGAATAATAATTTAAACTGATTAAGTTTTTACAAGATGTAATTTAAATATCGATGTCGTTATAATAAATAAATTGAATCATTTTATAGATAAATTATACTTAATAATACTCAATATTACTTCAGGAAATTCTTTGAATAATAAATTTAAACTAATTAAATTTTTACAAGATGTAATCTAGATAACGATGTCGTTAGAATAAATAATTCTCATTATTATTTCAGGATATTCTTTGAATATTTTTTTTTTTTTTTTTTTTTTTTTTGTCTTCAATTCTTCATGGTAGTAACAATAAGTAGATTTGTTGTTAGGTAGAAAATGGCATGATAGGCATAACGGAAAATGGAACCCAGCAGCACCCTGGTCTGTTTACATCCTAAAATAAGGAAAAGAGATCTCTCATCCAGCTCCTTTTCAGTCGCCTCCTGATGAGCATTTCAGCCATGGCCATGTTGTTGATAAGTCCATTGTGATGTCTGTGTAGTTTAAGATGAAATCGGGAATAGAGAATGCGTATGTGCTGGTCAATGGTTGGTTGTCTTAGGTCGGTATGTAAAGTCTTGTTGTTGACATACCAGGGGGCTGCAGTTATTATTTTTAAAATTTTACATTGAAAAGATTGTAGTTTTTGTAAGTGAGTCGTTTTAGCTGAACCGTAAATCTGTGAGGCAAATGTCCAAGTTGGTTTGAGCAGGTAAGCGTATGTATTTAGTTTTTGTCTAATTTTTAATTTTGATTTAGAAAAAGTGAGTATAGTATTTTCAGTCGCTTGTTCAAAGTCTTTCTTTTCAATTTTGACATGTGGGCCCCAAAAGTCATCCTTCTGTCAAACGCTCGGGTAAAGTCGGCTAGAGTCGACTAATTGAAATATTTTTACATATTAAAACGTCTCGGATTAAAACGTCTCAGAAACTAAAAATACTGCATACTGTAAGCGAGGAAGTTGTTCTATAATTCGAAATTATATCTAAAAGCAACGCGGAAATGAGGAGGCGAAAATGAAAAAATAGTGTCGAAAACCAAATGATAACGAGTTTAGTTGAACATATGGATTAAAATATTTCAGATTCTAAAAATCGAACCTATATACTGTAAGCGAGGAAAATGGTAAGCGTTTCATCTTCTTTGTAATGGGCTATTATTCAAAATTTTATCTTAATTCAATACCATGTTAGAGATTAGGAGAGGGAAAAAGATAGTGACCAAAACTAAATGATGATGGCCGATCAAAAATATAATGATGGCCGTTCTAACTCCTTCTCATATTATATCAACGGTCAACCATCTCTACCTAACTCCTTCTCATAAATTATAATGAGTTTATGATAATATATATATATTACTAATGCTAATACTATTACAACATTGACATTTTATTTTGACCACATTATTAAAATGGCTCGACGAGCCGAAACGTCGTCATTGTGATGAGTAGTCATTAAGTGACAAAAAAATGTTTAAATTGGTGTAAATATGGCTAATAATAAATTAACTTGAAAAGAAAGATATATAATATTATAACATTACATAAACTTCCGACTGGAGACTTCCACATAAATATTATACAGTAGTTGGATACAACATAAACTAATAAGTATCACTAATTTAAACAAGTAAATTATTAATCATTAATGACGTCTTTAGATTGACCTTGCTTTGATGTCTATATTTTATGTAATAACTTAAAAGAAACAATTTTTCGAACACGATGTAAAACAAGTTAATAGGTGCCTCCTCTCTCATATTGCAATGCTTGGTATGTGTTATAAAATATTGTATTTTTTTTATGTCAGAGTTATGGTATTTATTCATTTTCTTTTCTTTTCTTTTTTATTCAAATCTATGAAGCGTGAATACAGCTCTTATCCGTGAACAAAAACTTTTATCGGTGAATATGAAAAAAAAGTATGGGTGACCAAGTGGAATTGAGAAAGTAAAAAAATAAAATAAATAAATATTTCAGCAACAAGAGAAGAAATATTTTTCGAATTCATGGTTGTCAAAACAAAATTTAAAGCCGGGTTTAGACATTTCACGAACAAATATATAAATATTTATTTCACTATGATATTATTTCTTTCTTCTTTTTGATATTTTCCTTCTATTGTCGGTATCAAGAAAAAATAAATAGTTTGGTTTTATAATAATGTTGCTGTTAGTTAAGTTCGATGATTTTGTTTGCCATAATTTGTGAAATGTCTAAACGCACCTTAAAAGTTACTTTCGGTTTGATTGCAAGCAATTTTCAATTATCTGAATCCTCTCTTTCCGGAACAAAAAATTAGGGTAAAGATGAAAACATATCTGCTTCTAGAAAAAACTAAACATTGATAATAATACTTAATTATTTTTTTTTTTTAATCACTTATTTTTAATATAAATATAATTACAAATTCAACATAAATTCAATTGGAATGGCGGTTCAATTTTCAATCTATAAAAAAATGTATATATTTATATTAGAAAATAATATGAAAATTTGAGTAGAGTTGGCAATGTGTTAATTATTATAACGGTTTAATTGTTTTTAATAAATTTTAGATGCTGAAATGGGGACTAAACATTGATATTTCATATAATGAAATAAAAAAGTATGTAAAGACAAGTTTATAGTCCTTTTAATTAGCGTATTCGTCTGACATTTGAACGAGAAGACATGTGTGTTTTACTTTGACTGCAATCCTTAACGAACCTTCTGACCATATAAACGCAAGTGTTTTTTTTCTTGCTTACAAAGTTGTGGAGGATAAATGAACTAGGATTAATTTTAGCTTTGCCTACGGTAAGGCAACGTAAGGTAACGGTAGTATCCGTTTTTCTTTAAATTAAAATAAAATACTTTAAATTAAAAGAAGGATTTACATGCTTTCCAGGATGAAATCTATAAAAGATTTTACCGAAAAGAACAGCTAAATGTGTGACAAAATTCAAAAGGTAAAAAAGATATTCTGTTAATTGATATCTTGTATAGGAGTTTACCATTTACCATAAAAAGCGCCCCTTCATCTACATTGAATAATGTTTTGTGTAAATTAAAAAAAAGCATGATTGAAAAATAATACAGAAAAAAGTTAATTTGAAGCAGAATAGGCTATATCATTGCTAATAAGGATACGATTTGGATGATTTTTTCCCTATTAGGAAATTTAATTAATGTTTAAGTATGACTAATAAATAGATACCTATAATTTAGTTATTGTTGAGTTTATATTTCAGATATTTATAAATAAATATTTTTTAAAAAAATATCAATAATTTTTTTTTATTCTGACTTAAAAGCAAAGTTTTAGAGTAGGTATAAATAAAATATGATAAAGAAAGGTCAAGAATATTAAATTAATTATATTTAATATTCATTAATTCTAATTAAGTAGAAATTATTTGGCTTATTAAAATTTTACTGGTACTTTTATAAGAAATGCGAAAAAATAAGATAAAGCAACTATATTAAATTTAATACAACAAATATATACAAATCTCACAAAAAAGGTTAATAAACTACATAACATTGTTTATAATAATTAAATATAATGTTTAGCTATTAAATCATTATACGTTATAAATTATAAATGGAATCGAAAAATTTAGAAATACACGCCCATCCCATAAGCTTACAATGGAAGAGGAAAAAATTCTATTAAAGTATAGCAATAATAAAAATTATGATTAGCTGTTAAATTATGTATATAATCTTCGGTAAATTGAATATTTTTTTATTTATATGCCTATAATTTTTTCATTCTTCATAACTGTTTTCCTGTTATTTCTTAGCGATTTACTATACATATATAAATAGTATCTTAAAAATCGTCATGACTGTTTAGATGCATCAGTTTATAGAATAAGATATTTTTCGGCTATTGCACACAGAATTTTTTCTTTCTTTTTTATCATTAGTGATGAAAGTAATCTTCAAAATGAAGCCTTTAACATTAGTTTTAATAATGTGCTAAAGTATATGTTGTGCTTCATGAAAAAATAAGTAAATAAATGGCATCAAATTTTAGAAAATAGATAAATAAAAGGCCCATGTATATAATAGAATCAGCTTTATTCAGGAACAAAGTCCCTTAAGAATAACAATATTGATCATAAAAATTAACATTAAATCTGGCCAAAATACCTATTAAAATAAATAATTACTAAAACATAAGTAATAAGAGAAGTATTTACATAGCTATACAGATATATTAAAGAAAAAATATGAGCAATAAGGTCACAAAAATGCAAAACATTTGCTACAAACAATAAAGTAAAAAATAACTAAATGAAATTGGAAAAGAATGATAAATTACTTTTATAGGTCAACCGAATGATTATATAAATGATTTACATCTGTTCCTTAATATGTTCAAATGAATACTCATAATGGTATTGTAAAAATTAGAAAAAACTTATAATCTATATACTAAGACATAGATTGATAGGAGAAAACAGAAAAGTAAAAAAAAAGATAATATATATATATCGAAGAGTGCGTTCAATATTGATAAAAAATTAAATACACCTCAAGATTTATATATATAAGAAAAAAAAATAAACTTCTTATTGTTTTATCGTTTCCTTAGTGGCTTCATATCATGATAAGTAAATAAATTTAATACATATTAAAAATTGAAAAATATAAATTAAAAAATAATAAATAAAAATTAATGAAAGCTTTTACAGTTTTTTATCGTTATAAACTTTAATAACTGTGAGGTCATAAAACCAACCTTATAAGCCTTCTTATCATCAGTAAGGGACCACAAATCTTTCAAGTATTTCTCAATATACAACTGTAACAATATTGTTTAAGCAGGGTACCTGGACCTTCCTTCCACTTGTTATTACTTGCCTTCTGAAGGTGGATATTGAAGCCGGCATATTGCTCTGTGTCGATATTAAAAATGGCACCGAAACAAAATTGATTATAACTTGCAATATTTTTCGAAATTGCAATTGTTTTCTCAATTCACATCAATTTGTAAAGAGAAAAAAAAAAGACATCGTATGGATTTATGTATATATATTTAAAATATTATTTTTACCACAGAAATTGGAAGTTTTCAAGTAATAGTACAACTTAAGTATTTATTATATGCATTACATATGTTAATAAATATTATGAAAAATAAACATTATAAAACAATGACGATATTATAATTTTTTTTTTCTTTTTTTTTATTAATTATTCTTAAATTTTCCAAAGTGCAATGTTTTTAAGCAAAACAGAGGGAGACGAAATAAACTAAAATAATTTCGAATTTAATTCATAAATGAGCTGCTTTAAATGTATAACCGGCATTACTAAATCTTCTGCCCAAATAACAGACTACAAAAGCGTGTATTATTTTATTCTAACCGACCAACTTGAAAATAAATTTCCTCATTCCAAAATGTTTATAAATTAAACAAAATATAAATATTTATAATTTTTGAAAAAAAACGAACAATATTTTTACAAATGATAGTTGTAAAATCACAATACATACACTTGGCTGATGAAAATTTACAGAATGTGTTTAGGGTTGCCTATAAATTATAAAACAAATGCAAATTATTAAAATGAAATTTATTTTCATATTCCAGAGTTTCCGGCAAAATCACGATAATGTTGTAAGTTGTTTGCATTTTATGTTTTACACGAAAAAAACAACAACATAGTTTTCAATTTTTATATTTTTTTGTCAATTTTTATATTCAATTTTCAATTCTGATTTTCTATAGTTCGTATAAAGATAGACGTTCTATATTATTTTCAAGAAAAATAAAATTGAAATAAGCCTGAGAATATTTTACTTTATATAGCGACCGATATCTTTATTGCAATAGATCGTGGTATATATCGTTAATATCGTGGGATCATTGCAACACGTCATTAAGTAAAATTTCATAAAATTAAATCACCAAGTGCTTTGATGAGTTTTGCCTCATTAAATTCACAAAAACATTATTCAAAAATTTATCTTCATCAAAAAAACTAACTTAGTGACTTGTTGTAAAAACCGGCGATAAAGTCTTGTATTGCTGTTTTTTATTTATATTGTTGTTATTTTTTTTTTGTTTTGATGAAATTAAGTTACTGTATATTATTAGTAAAAAAATTATTTTTGAAGGCACACAGTTTAAAGACAACATTGCTTCTATTATTATTAGTACTATTATTGGTATTATAAAAAAATAATATTGATAATTTAATAAGAAAAAAAATAAGCTAATGAGATTTGGTTTTTCTACAGCAGGCGATCCTTTTAAATTCAAAGAAATGATCTTTGATTCAAATTAAAATAGGATTTAAAACCATTTAAAATTAATGTGTGAACAATTAGAAAATGTTTGTACATTAATCGTCTAGTTTTATTTTAAAATGAAAAAAAAAAAGTATTTGGATTATCTTTAAAGCGTTATATCTTCTTTCGATTTTTTGCGACAGTTCAAATTTCTTAAAAGATTTTTCAAATTTATCAGTTCATTCATGATTTATTAAATTCCCTACCTCTTAAATTAAGCTAGAAAATTCGTCAAAAATTTTCTGAATAAATACCATAAATTGTTGGACGGCCTGCGATGTTCTGGTAGATCGCGAGCGAACTGTCTCTTCGGCAGAGCAGTATTACCACGGATACTCGGAACTGGAGTGAGCTGAATCTGAGATCCGCCGCCAGGCAGCAGCACCATACAAGGTAGTTGCGTCCGGAACCGTTACAACCTGTTACTGAAAATGTAACCGGTAGATAAGAAAATTCCAGCAATTATATTAATATCATTCTTCTATAATGATTTTTTTTTTGTAATTATATTAGATAAAACGATGCATTAATTAATTTCAAAGCATATACAAAATGTTTTTTCAAATTTATTATTTAAATATATCGTTGTTCCTCAAGGTATTATCTTAGGTCCCATTTGCATAGCTGGCATCCCAACCCATTCTCCTACTTATCTTACTATTGACGCTGATAACACTAAATAACGACCCAATAATTTCATCCCAACCCTGCAGTCACACACTTCAGAAATTTTTTAACCTTTGTCGTAAACCTACAAAATACTGTCCTACAGTATCCTTTTAACAATTCTCCACTTATCCCTGTCGAACAAACCCGTTATTTAGGAGTACATCTCGATAACTGTCTTACTTGTAATCCTCATACAAGAATGAAACGATAAGAAACTGCTCATAGCTTCCGATTACTACACTTGCTTGACAAACGCATTAAACATCATTGATCACTCTAACCCAATGGCTCATAACCTTTCATCCGAAAAAATTCCTAACAATCTTCCGATTTGTTTCAAAAGAAGATTTCCATGGGTCCTCCTAAACTAATCCTATCATTGAAGATTGCGTGTTACCTATATTGTATATTTTTATAATAAATTTGCTTTTCCTCTCCTTCTTCCCCTTTTCAGTTATACGGATTTTTCTCAGCCCAGGAGTGAGGTCGGCGGATCAATCCCAGAGTTTAAAAAAACGGGGCATCAAGATTTGAACTAGTAATCTTAGGTTTATCAGGTTGCCGGGCAAAGCGTATTTTGCAGACATGGTAGCTCTGCCATCAATATATTTTATTTTTTTGTATTTATTCATACAGCTGTTAATTGCAATAAATGGATAAGAAAAAAATACATATTGAAATGTATAATTGTATATTTTACCGTCCAGCTAAACGAAAAATCCTGCAAAGTGTCGTTTGTTCATTATAGTTTTTTAGGTTGTAGTAATGAAACAAATTAATGGCAAAAAAAGACGAAGAACTTCATCTTCAGCCCTTTGTTTTCGGACTGAGTTACAAGCATTCTGTCCTCTAATTGATTGGGTGGAGGACATTTTGTTTAGTTCTATGCACGTCTAGTTTCTCAATAACTTCCTAGCAATGGAAGGAAAGAAGTACATTGTCTTATTTTTCAATACATCATTCCATAATACCCACGACCTTAGAATTACATGAGTATATAAACTAGATCTCGTTCTTCAGTCATTAGAAAAAAAGTAAGACGCCAGGATAGAGGAATAAGCTGGCATCAATATCTTTATCCTGAACTCGAGTAATGGAGAACGAAAAGGCTTTCGCAACCGTCGCTGAAAAAAATTGGAAAAACCGTCGAAATTTTTGTTATAATTTATTCATCAAACTTTTAATCTTAATCCTTCGGAACCAAAGCTAAACAAAGTGGCCTAAAAAAATAATAAGAGCTACGAAATTTTCATTTTTAAAAATATTTTTTCCAGAGAGACTCAACAATAAATTCGTCCCACGGTACAAAATATCTAGGTACGTCACTGTTGGAATACTATTTACTAGAAACCAAATTTATTTTTATAGAAGGAATATATATAATTAAATATATGTCGTGCTCAAAGGCCACCTGGCCGGCTTTTATTTTGTATATAAAATATAATTCTCTATGGTTTTATGACGGAAATACTGCGAGATTTTTCAAAAATCCTGTTTTACAAGCTCGCTTAACCGGTTCATTAAGAGTTAATTAAAATATTCTTTGAAAGTGCCTTCAAGATATTTATTGATTCACAACTGCAATTTTAATGCTTGAGCCGATCCATAAAATTGTAATATATGGATCATCTTTTGAAAAGCAATTAATAACATCGATCAGGGAGTTCTTGGAAGAGACACGAAATCAAAAATAACGTATTAAAGGGAACCACGTTCAAACGAATAAACGGCAATATTTATTTAACCTGTTGATTACTCTATAAATTCGCAGGTTAAAAATAAATCAAAAAAAAAAAATTTTAAAAACCCAGGGGTAATTAGTGTTAAAACTCTTTAACACTAATTACAGTTGTAGAATATATGATTACAATGATAGAGAGGGTTCCAACAGATGATTGAAATAGTGTAGGAATGACTTATTTGTTGTCAACATCTTTAATTCTGTACATAGTTTATTGATATTTTTATCATATCATATAATCCTCATTATTTATATATTTATTCATTTTTATGAATTTACGAAAATTTAATTTAAAACAAAAATTATATGAAATATGTCTGTACCCCGGACACACAACACCACCATGTTTGTTTTTTATTTATTCAAGAGAGCCAATGTTCCATAACTTTACGCTAATAAAATTAGTTTCTTTGTTACTAAATCTGTACTCCTGAGGTAAAGGACACTGTTGCATTTTTTTATTTGTTTGGATAGCCAATATTCCATAACTTTAAGCTATTAAAATTTGTTTCTTCATAACTAAATTATTTAATAAAAAATGAACATGGTTTCGTTTACATCCGGGAAACATATATGGTAAAAAAAAGTATTGCGATAGTGAAAAAAAAAAATTGAATTTTAGTTTTCAATGAAAACGATAATTTTAAGGTCTCTTAGTGCAAATAACCAAGACTCACAAAATGATCTGTGTGTATTTGTCTGTGTATGAAAATAGCTGAGCTCAAAAATGAAAACTAAAATTACGTATTGAAGGTAGTTATGTGCCAAAGATGTTATAGCTAATTTGTCATCAAAATCAACTAACCATAAGTGGCATTTTGTATCATCGATTTTACACATTTTTAGGATTCATCACATTATTGTAAAACTAAATCGTGATATGAGGTAAATATTTACCTTATTGGACTAGTCTGACAAAGGTTAAATGCCAAATTTTCAAAATGTTTTTTTATATAGTAATTTGGTCCACTTGAAATAATTAACTTGCCTTTCGTCGTTAGTAGTATTTTAAAAAATTGCTTAAAAGAAACTATTAAAAAATTAACTAAAGGAGGAAAAAGGAATTAAGTTTTTCCAGGTTGTCACAAAATATATCTGCATACTCCTAAGATATAGTTGGAAAGCTAAATAATAATATCTATAATATAATGTTATGGTATTCAGGCGTAGGAAAAGTCAAAGAAGTTAATGAAGTGTGATAAAAAAAACTGATGATTAACTGTTGTGAAAATTGTGTGTGATTCGTGCACAGGATTTTTTTTTTTTGTAATTATTTTAAATATATTCTTTTTATCTTAATTTATTTTACAGTAAATGTATATTTTGTTTAATTCCTATGTACCGCATATGGAACCTTTTTTTATAGGTTATTTTTATGGATATTTTTTCCCACAGCTCCTTGGTCTACCATTGTATACTCTTAAAACATCAGAGATCTTTCATTAATCCCCCAGTTTTTTTTTCATTATTTTTTTTTCAGTTTTTCAACGCTTTAATTTAATTTTATCTTCTTCTGTTTTTCTGTTTGTGTTTATTCATTGATGGATTTTATTTTCGGACTCAATTAGCATAGCCATACCCTTTACTCTTTATGTTTTCATATACTCATTAATTTATAAGTATTGAAGTGTGTAAAGTTAGTATACTATTGATAATCTATTTAGTATATTCTGGATGAAGGGGTGGGATATGTCAAAAGGCACTTTGAGCACGGATTCAAGGTGGGGGCTTCGAAGGTGTCTGAGGCATCCCTAAAAAATGTTTTTATTTCATTGATTCATATTTTTGTCTCTGACTGAGATGTGATGAAAACTAAAACCATTAAATGTTTAATTTTTTTTTAAGTTCAGCTACCAAATGTAAGCATTTATCAAGAGAACATATAAAAATGCCATCTCTAAAAGCATGGTTGTAGCTGTAATTACCGTTACTAAGTTACTAAAAAATTATAAATAATAAAGTTAACCTAATAATAAAAAATTTAGTTAAATTAAATTCTACTGTCAAAGGGCGAGACTACATAGGTTTAACATATAGCTCCATTGTGAACATACCCAGTTCGGGTACTTTCAATAAGATGACTGGAATTTGTTTTTTAAACATTCAGTGAAGAATTCGGTGCAATGAAAATCGGAAATTTTTTTTTGTTTATTTTCATTTTTTATTAATTTTTTTTTTAATAATCTTAAATCATCTAATTGTATATGTACACATTATTTTAAAATGTGTATTGACCAAATAGGACTTGATGAAGACCATTAGTGAATAAATAAATACAAAGCACTTGAAATCCTACCGCTTCAATTATTTTCCATTTACAAAATTATACTCAAATTTTAAAATAATAAATCATATAAAAAAGAAAATCTCAATTCTACAGTCTAAGAGAAAAAACATCATTCAAAAACAAATTTATACCATCTTTATTCAATCCTGCAACCTAGCTACAACATAAACACAGCTAAAAATGTTGACCACAAGAAAAAAAAAAATTATTGGGTCTTTCATTTATTTCTCAGACAAAATCATTCACAGCAAATTTTAATCAAATATGCAAACAAAATCAATCACAGATATAATTTTTTCTTAATCATTTGTTTTTGTTATCCAAAAATATCTAGGATAACATATCACTAAGTTATATATAGTTTTTATTATCGAACCAAGTATAGTACATGGCTATTTTTACCCAAATAGGCCCGTTTAAATAAAATATTAGATTTTATAATAAATGTATCTACTTAATTGTATTTATTGGATTATAATTATTTAGTTTTTAATGATTTAATGAATTATAAAAGTCTATAGTAATTTAAAATTATTCTTTACGGGTATATTTTCTCTCAAATCATTAAAACTACAATACAAAAAAGAAAATTATTTATTTTATGTCTTTCAAGAATTACGTTAATATATTAATTTATGACCATTGGTCGACATATAACTTCTTTTGTTTTTCAACAATTTTATTATTTTCTAATCCACAATTAACTGAAAAAAGTAGAAACCTTAGCTTTATTTTGAACTTATATGTCTTAAATGTACAAAACTTAAGGAATGTTTTTGTTGATAGATCCAGTGAAGTATACAACTTTTTTTAGGCTTACCCAGCATGGAACAATATCTTCCACTATTACCTATGTATCAAGCTGAAGGATCTGTTGAAAATTGCATGCAGGTGGTTGATATTTATATAATATAGCAGAAGAGCAATCAATTAAAACATCTGATAAAAGCTGAGATAGAAATAGGTAAATCTTCCAATAAACTCAAGATAATATTCTAATAAATTATCTATTGATTTAATTTCTTCAAGCTCAACTTCTAAAATATAATGGGAAATATTAAATATTATAAATATGTCCTCTATATTATGGGTTAGTTTTATGTAAAATAAATATATTTTCTGAAAAAAAACATTATAGTAGTAAATGTTTTTGTAAATTTTGACAAAATTTAACTTTTTTAATTATCGTTCATAAAAGCTAAATTAGATGTGTAACTTTTTTTATTTATAGTATTTTACATAATATGAGCCTTTCAGTTGACAGAATGACTAACTTCAATTTCAACACTTTTTATTATTAATTTTAGAGATATTTCTAGTGGGAAAATTTACACCTTTATTCACAGTTCTATATTTCAACACTGCAATCACCTACTCTGGAATCAACTAACTCACTGTCTGTACAGATATTTTAAATTTTCCAACTAGAAATATCACTAAAATTAAATATCTCAAAAATGTTGAAATTGGACTTAGTCATTCTGTCAACTGAAATGCTTATATATAGTGACCAATTTCCTGAAAAATATACGAATATGTCATTTTTAAATTACTGGATAATTGAATTTCTGCAAGTATTTTAGGAATTATCTGAGAAAATTAAGAACTTATAATTTATTTGTTACTAATGAACAATGCTAATTATTTGAGTCATTGCTGTTAACTTATGAAAATAGCGGAATCAACAAGAGTTTATATCGTATCCCAGATTATTTATGGAGATTTAATCTTTGTATGTCACTTGTACCTGAATTAAATACATAATTATAATTTTTAAAAAAAGTTTTATTTGGATTGACTTGGTGGCAGCAAAGATAGAAAAATATATGAAGGACCCTCACAGCACTAAAAATAGCCACTAAAAAAGAAGATTTGATACGCAATATGTATTTATAACCATGTAGGACAAAATTAAAAATTTTAAGAAATATTTTATATTCCATATGATCATCTCCATTTTATAATATATACACTTAAAATCAATAAAATTCTTCATTGCTAAATATATTGAAACATCAAATAATATATTTAAAAATTTTAAATATGTAAAAAAAATATGTAGTTTTATTATTTAAAGTCATTTTTTCTCATCATAATTTTCGGAAGCATAATGTTCAATATTATTCATAAATTAATACAGTTTAGAGAAAACGACTTATGTGAATCTTGCTATTATTTTTTCTTTGTTATTTCAATAATTTTATTTTTTATTTTATCAATATAATGTATTACTTAATGAGCATTTGCATTTTTTTGTATTCTAAATTTCTATTACCTTTAAATCAGATCCTTATTCTTAATTCAGAAATATTTTTTCTAGAAATATTATTTTAAAAAAATCTACTATTATGTTACTTTGGTTTATTATTTACAAAAATAAACATTCGTAATCATAAAAGAAAAAAAAATTCCCATTCCGATTGATGTTTTACATTTTAAGCTACATATACAATCAAATAATAAAAATCCATCTGTCAGTTGCATTTTTCTTCTTTTCTCTCTCAACCAGTTAGGAGTGTTATACAGTGCTTTCATTATATTTTACCTGTAATTATGTAGAAAAATGTTTAAAATAACACCAGAATTATTAATAAGTTATTATTTTTTTTAATTGGGATATTTAACCATTTTCAAAAACAAAATATGAGGACTCATTTACATAGTTGTGGTAGACCATATGTACAGGGGCCATTTGCAAGCTCTTACAGATAATGCTCCTCCATCAGGCGTGGGTACTTATGGTGTATGGTAACAGCCTATTGTATCCTAGTAATTATTTTATTAATGAAAAACCACCAAAACTATATCATCAACGCCTAAAAATATAAAGCAGTTTGACAGTTTGTATAAACAGTTTGTTTGCACTATTCACTAATCTTGCCCTATAAAAGGTGAACTAAAACTGTTAGGTACTAACATGAATAAATTAATTAATTTTTTAATCTAAATATTTAATCAATACTTCTTAAATATAAGCATTGCTACTGGTGTAATCAATTTTAATATGAAGAAAAAAGTAAAGATCTTAAAGATTATCATGATCTGAATACTATTTATCGATCTTTTCAAATGCATAACTAGCATCAATTCAAATTTTTTTTTTTTTATTAAGCTCATTGGGGCTGTTATATATATATATTGTAATGTCAACATTACATGGTATATAAATAGTGGCGCGAAAGTGGCAAGAGCATGAACTACAGGGAGGAAGTGGGGGAAGCAAGCCTCATGTAACTCAGACTGCGGCGGGCCGCCAAGAGGGAAGGTGCTAGCGGCCAAGTTGAGAAAATAGAAAGAGCCACAAAGTTTAGACTGGGACAATCAAGGTTTTTGAATGTATAATTTCTTAATGTATGTATCTCGTTTCTTTATATGTATTTAGTAATTTAGTAAATTATAGTTATTAAATGTTGAATGAGTGTTCAGTTGTCAGAACCCAACCTGAGAATTTATATTATGTGTTAAAATAAATAGATATTCAAAAAGTAAACTCGTTTGTTTGATTTATGTTGACAAAGAGAACGTTACAACATATATATATATATATATATATATATATATATATATATATATATAATAGAGTTACCCAGTGGTGTAAATAACATTACTGCAACTTCCAAGATGGAGATGAGTCCCTTTCAATTAATTCCAAGGGTTTTTTTTTAAATTGTGAAAGTGGTAGAGAAGGTTTCTCATTTCAACTAAAGAAGAAGATGAGTAATACGAGGCTAAATGCTCTAAAAATCAGGGGCATCCACCAGGAGCAAGTCTGAGCTCTTGAAGGTGGAATCAATGAGGAACACTGGGTCCCAATGATTTGAATTTCCCTTTCCAGAAAAAAATACCAACTGTTTAGGCAACTTTCACGATTATGGCAAAATAACTCGCAAGAGTCTCAATATGACAACATTCTAAATTTTATGGTAACATTCCAGTTTTTAAGCAGTGGTCTGTATCTTAAGGGATTGGTAGGTTAATGATTGTGAAAAAAAAAACAGCTTACCGTCTATATGCCAGCCCACATCTTTTTACCTGGAGAGCTCTCCGTAAGTGGCTTCTCGTGCTGGAGATGGTGTTTGCCCCGTGGTGGCTGCTTGTAGATTGGCCAGATACAACCAGTTCCTTTCAGGGCTTAAATGTTATCTTTATCTTTTAGATCTGCCCCCACCACTGCCGTATTGCGGACTATTTAAACGAAAACCCCTCTTTTGCACAACCACCAGCTTAACCCTCATTTTTTAGTCAGAACTCAACCAGACTACATTTTTCAAACTCATTATTAAATATAAAATAAATATTATTAAATAAATATAAGCACATAAATACACTTACAATCAGTAAGTTACTAATGCTTGAAACAATTCTTTTTTTTTAATAGCCCCATATTGCACTGTGCCACCACAGCCTTTGCACTTCAATGAGCAGTATCTGTTGCAGTGGTTCTTGGCTTGAAAAAGTGTTGGAAAAATCCTTCTGTTTAAAGATAATATGCTGAATAAAATAGAGATTGTTAGCAGTTAATTAATCTTGTAAATATGTAAATGGTGAGGTTGATATAATAAGTCATACTGGAAATCTCAGTTTTTGCAAAATACTTACCTCAGTTCATAGGTATTTTCTTGGTATCTTGGTTATATTCTTGTATTGAAAGTAACTGACTATAATTGATCATATTTATTAAATAAAATGTTTGGTATTTTTTTGAGTTTAAATTTGTTCTGGTACCTTCCTTTTTTTTATATATTTTAGTTAATAGAAAAACAAAATGCATAATTTTGGAAGTTGTCTTCCTAACACTGATTCTTTTCTTGATAAATAGAATTAACAATTTGTATTTTGCTATTACTATGTTGCTTATATGTTATAACGTACTGTTGAAAGATGTTTAACAATGGTAGAACTTTAGGCCAATAAGTTTTTAATATAATTTAAATAACTACAGAATTCTTCTTCATATTTCGGGGCAATACATTTTTTCAAAAAACACATCAAAATTTGATAAGTTCTTATGCATAAAACACTCTTGTTTAACTTATTATAAACAAAATAAAAATGAAATATAGCACCAGTATTAACTATGAAGCTTCTATTTCTTTTAGTTCTAGTTCTTTTAGAAGTGTTTCTAAAAAAAAACTAATAAAGCCAGTACTCTGATCCCAACATAGCATCCTTAAATCTCCAAAGCCACCTCACCTTGATTGAGCACTGGTGTAATAACTGGCGCATTAAAGTTAATGAATCTAAATGCCAACATATTACCTTTACACTCCGACGCAGTTTCTGTCCACCAATACACTTTAATTCCATCCAGCTTCCATACTCAGACACAGTCCGTTATCTTGGCTTTCATTTAGACCGAAGACTAACGTGGAACCCACATACTAGACTCAAAAGACAAGAACTCAACCGACGATACGGCCAGCTATACAGGCTACTAAACAGAAAATCCAAACTTTCAATTGAAAACAAATTACTTATCTACAAGACAATACTGAAACCTATATGGACATACGGACTTGAACGGGGGGGGACAGCAAAAGCTTCTAACATCAAACGTATTCAATCTTTTCAATCTAAAGTCCTTCAAACAATAGTTGATGCTCCGTTCTATGTAACTAACAAAATCCTACACCATGACCTTAATATCCCATTTGTCCTAGACCTTATTCCAGAAAAATTCTCCAAATTTCACCAGAACCTTACCTATCATCCAAATCCCTTTGCACAATCTCTATCCAGCACCAACCATCCCTACAATCTTCCTCAAAGGTTGAAGCGGCAGTGGCCCAGAGACCTTCTGTAAATAAGCATCTATTGGAGTTGGAACAATGGCCAGATCCTCCACTCAAGCCCGAGTGTGTATGATTAGGTTAGTTCCTTTGTTTATATACTTTATTTTATTTTATTGTATTTATTATTATTAAGTTTCTGTATTATTTATTTTTATTATTGTAAATAGAGTGTGAGTGTGCTCTCTGAACACTATTATAAATGTCCTTGGTGTGACAGAATGTAATATTTCTAAATAAACAAATATATATAAGTAAAAAATAAAAAATAAAATAAAGCCAGTAATACATCAAAACTCTTGGTACCTAAGTTCATTAAATGAGTCTGATGTGTTACACACAGAGTAATTTATTAATAATAATAATTGAATGGCACTTGTTTCATTATAAAATTTAATATTAAATTTATTTCTAACCATCCTCAAAATCAAATTTAATTTTTTTAAAAATATTAATCAGTGTCTGATTACTAAAAATATGACAAATAAAAGGATTTAAAAGCAAAACATGTAACTATCTCATATTAATATAAATCGATTTAATTTATTTTTCTATTAACAATAATAACAATATCAAACACTTAGTCAGTGGTAGTCAAATAATTTTGTTTTGGTTTGAATTTTATTCAAACTTTTTTATTTTTTTTTATTTTTATGAACATGAGATTATTCTCCCTCAAGGCTTATATACCTGATGAGACTCTTGGGCAGAGGCAGGAGGTATATCCCAACAGGCAATTGGAAGTTGTCGTTGAGCGATTCCCTAATGGCCACACGAGCGAGGTGCTTAAGGCTAGCAACTGGCCACCCTTCAACTCCTGAAGGTCTCACGACAGCAGCAATATTCCTACAGGTGAAGATGTGGCATGTCACTCCAGAATGGCAATTGATCATCTCATCCAACATCTCCAATGGACTTAGAAGGCCCTGGAAGTAATAGTTGATTATTTTAAATATATAAAAACTTTCAGTTACATTATATTTTAGATTATGTTATATTATATATTAAAAAAAAAAATAAAGGCAGAAGAGCATGGATCCTTGAAATACCCAAAAATAATTATTTAGTATGAACAAATTACCATTTATTTAGTATTTTTCTTGATTGTTAGTAAATAAAATTTTCAGTGTAGTAATAAAGTTTTTTTTTTTTTAATTTTCTATTTATTCATTATAATTACTTTAGTGGATTAATCAACACTGATAGTGTCAAATGCCAACACTGTAATAGTAAACTTACCGTTAGCCATATTTTTCAGGAATGTTCTTTCTATATCTCGAAATTAACTAGTTTCAGACTCACACCCCCAATATCAAACATCTTTAAAAATGATGAAGAGATAGTAAAGTTAGTATTAAATTTTCTAAAATTAAACAACTTGTTAAACAGAATTTAAAAGTTGAAATTCAAATCTAGTTCAGATAAACAAAATTAAACACAGGCCTTGATGACTTTGAAGTTTTATTCCTTAAAACCTCAACTTTTTTTGGTGGGGATTATTTGTTTATTGATAAATATTACAATCTGTCTCAATAAATGACATTTATAATAGAGTTCAGAGAGCACATTCACACCATATTTACAAAATAAATAAGGTAATTTCAAAATAATATAAAGTTAAATAAGAACAAAATAAAATAGCATAGTGAAGAAAGAAAATATAAATAATAGTAATAATAGAATAAAAATAAATGAATAACATAGAATTAAAATTCTCTTTAAAAAAAAAAGTAATGAAAAAAACATCTTAGACGCAGGCATACCTATTTACACTATTTACAGTCAGCCATGGGAACTCCGAACCAAACTTGTCTCCCCACATGTGGATAAAACCTCAACTAACAACAATAATTGATTATCGTCATTTCTGGTTTGTTCGTGGTTAAATTGCCACCATTTATATCTTTCTCTTGGTGAAAATATTGTTACTGTAAATCTTAACTCTCAAGGCCCCTCTGACTTTGGATAGAAATCAAACATTCTTTCACCATCGACTATTGAACCTGGAATGGAGTTGGACATCCATCTTTCTTAGGTACTGCTCTGTGAAAGAAGTACACCGTCAGATCCCACGTTATGACCCATCAAAGTTTATTGTGCTGAATAATTTAATTAATTAATGTTATGAAACTGTTTTTTTTTTACATGTGTACTCTTTTATACTATTACAAGATGTTATTTTAATAAATAATATTAGTGGACTAATAGTTCACTTGCTGGAGTGGTCTCTAGAAGAAATTTCATGATAAAACTAATTTAGTATGGCCTAGGAAATAATTTCATTGGACCTAAATGATGATGAATGTGTTCAAAGAGTGCATCAAATCCTGAAATTTCTGAAAACCTTTAATATCTTTTGTATGATATTTTTATTGAGTTTTCTTTTCTTTTTTTGAACTATTGCTTAATAATTTCAAAAATTTGTTATATAAAAATCTAATACATTTCCTTAGAAATACCTAATTGAGATAGAAAATAATACAAGGAATTAAACTGTATTGATATAACAACAAAAGAAAAGAATAATACCAAAAGAAAAGGAAATGGTGTCTCTCAATGCCATGCAAACTATGTCATATATCTGAAGAGTGTGAGCCTTAGGTTTACAGGAAGACTTTTCATGCCAAGATAAAAATTATGAAAGGAAATTTTCATGGAGATTTTGGAAATAATAAAGTATTTAAGAATTATTATTTATTTTTGTATTAATTACTTTCAGGGATAGTTAGTGATATCAAGAGCAATTCAAATCAGTAAAACAAAATTCAGGTCAATATCAACTTAGCCTGTTGATATCGTTGATACATTGAATATTTGGTCAAAAAATAAAATAGTTCATGTAAATCGTGTACTCAAGACCAAACTTTTTGGCTTGCAGGTCACATTATGACCTTCACTAAGTCCCGTAGGCTGCTTTAAGAACTGCACTAAGTCCCTAAAGCCCATAGCTTGTAATGAAAAAAAGAATCTTGTTCTATAAATGATAATTCAGTTGTAAAATGATCTTTCTAAGAGAAACAACTCATGAAATATATGTTGTAGCAATCTTATATTTGGGGGATTTACTTAATTTCTATTTTATTAATAGTTTTAAAATTTTACGACGTAATCAAAGATATTCTCATAGGCCGGATAAGAGGCGCTTGGAGGACAGATCTAGATCAATTAACTCTAAGTTTCTGTTCTTTAAATAAATCAGAAATATATAGACTGAACTAAACAACAGGAAAATAAAAACACTTTTATCAAAAGTATTGCAATACAATTTTAATGAATTATGTAATTAAAAGTAAATTATATTATTAAGCATTACGGAAAATTAAAAATAATAATCATTATTATTAAAACAATAGATCTTCAATTGACAATTGCTTAATAAAGATGTTTATTGAAATTTTCACCAAAACACATGAAATGTGTTTGGATCTTATATTTGTAAATAGTTTTTCTAAAATATTTGTTAATATTATTTACTGTTAAGAAGGTCTTTAATGATTAGAAAAGACCCTTTAGCATTTTTATCTTCCACTATTAATATTTTTACCTAAACAAAACTTAACGAAAAATTTAATGTGACTATTTGCTACACAGAAATATTGAAATGTATGAATGATTTTTACAAGATAGGAATAAGGGTGATTACCTATAGGTTAAACTTTATAAATATGTTGGAATAAATAAATGTGGAAGTTACTCAAAAGTTGAAATAAAAATGTTCAAAAGAGAGGTTAATAGACTGATGAGATGAGGTGTGGTTAAAAATTACCCAAATCATGATCAGAGGATTAACTGTGTAGCATTTTATTTTTTTATAGTTGTTGTTGGATAAATAATAGAATAATCTCTAAAAATTTAATCATTGCTCTACCAATCTGATATCTGAAAGGTATACTGAGAGGAATGAAACGAAATTATGGTTGTACCACATTTTGTGCAGTATCATCATTATTATATTATTATTATTATTATTATAAAAAGTTGGATAGATTAAAATAGTAAAAATAATATTGTTAGTAAATTTAACTAAATTAGGATCAAACAGTTGAGCTGTACTGATTCTGTGCGGATCTTTTAAAAATATTTTTCAGAGAAATCTATGACATGTATTTTTAATCAGGAAAGCTAATTAAAGTTGTCCTTTAAGTATCCTTCAAATTAAAAACAAAAAAAAAATTTCATAAATATGGAATTTTTGTTCTATCTATAGAAACATGTAAGAAAGAGATGTATGCTTGTAAAATCAAGGTATTAATGTGGTAATATCACACCAGAATATTGTTCATTCATGATCTAAGATTCCATTCCATCATGGCCTCATTAGAATTTTCAATGTAGATAAGAATTAATTTTAAAATATTTTTATTTTTATTAATAACTGACGGCTAAACATACATAAGGTAGTTGATGGACCTTGGCACCATACTGGACAAGAAGGAGGAAGACATCAGGCCTCTGAGCATGTATGGCCACTGTAGCAGGACTAGCCCTCATACAGGTTTGTAAGGGTACATCTACCATCCTCACCTCTGTACCATTGAGTGAGAACTGGAGTCGAGCCAACATTGCATGATGCAGGAAATATTTCAGAGCCTGCAGGCACTCATTTCTGTTGTCGAACTCACTCTTCCAGCCTGAGAAGGCACTACAAATCTTTGGCCCAAATATAGCACCTGAAAAAAAGAATATATTTCCTACATTTTAAAATTTAAATTAATTAACCCTCATTTAAAAAAATATTTTCAAAATATCAATCTGCACCTGGGAATACAAACCACAATGGTGGCATTTTACAGGAGAAGCATAATATGAAGTTTTCACATTTGGGTTTATTGCTGTCCCCCAACCCCCTTTAAAACATCCAATCATACATTTTCTGCATGAATAATGTTCACTTATTTCTATAAAAAAAGGAAGTTCACCTTAATTTTTTTATCGTTTAAATAAAAAAGAAATATAGACCAATAGAAGACTATAAAGCAACAAAATAACAATAAAAATGAAAATGTTTGTACTGTGGCACTCTTCATTCAAGCAATATCATGTTTTATTTTATAATTAACTTCTTATAGAAAAAAAACTCAATTGAGACACACTTGGTGCTCATGCAACCTATTGTTGTTGAAATAACAATCAACTTAAGAATTAGTGCACACATTTCAAAGAGTTTATAACAAACTATAATGTGAAAAAATAAATAAATATAGTATATTTGACAATGCTTAAGTATAAGCGCTATCTGCAAGGGTCTTCCTAAAATTATTTACTATACCTATTCTGAATTTTGATACTTATAGAAGTATTCTAGCAATCTTTTAATCAAGAAGAGATGTTGATATCCACCATAAAAGTATATTTTTTTAAAATAAATCTTGTAGCATAATTTTTTTAATAGTAAATTTTATAAGGTTGTTGAACACATTCTCAGCAACTAAAATATTAAGACTGTGGTAGAAATATTAACTAATTTCACAGATGTTTGACAACATCTACTAAAAAATAACTAGATGAGACCTTGCGTGACAAGAAAGAGGACCGAATATGGTACCACTGGTTTATTCTCTTTCCCGTGCCTTTCATATCCCTTTTCCTAAAATACTTTTTCATGTCATCGCATTTGCTGGTTTTAAAAGGATACTGGCAATTGAACAGAATTAAAAAGAAGGGGACCAATCCAATCCACACATGTTTTAAGTAAACTCAAATCAAAATCAAGAGGACAGAAAATCAAAAGCTTTCACAAACAAGAATGTGGCATTCTGTTTCCAAGGTTTTATTTAAATCTTCAAATTTTTATTGAAAACATCTGACCCATGAGATGGCTCTTTTTAGTTTAAAATAGTATTTAAAGCCTCCTATAGCTTATTTATGCATATTTTGCGGACTGAAAAAAAATCAAACAATAAAAATTTAAATAAAATTTACAAAGGAAGGTAAGCACCCCCACCAGTGAATGACATAGCTAAGGAAATGTTTGTCTTTTTTGGCTAATGCTGCCGTAATTATTATAGTTATAAGCTTCCCTGTTGGACATTTAGAATTTTTAGAGTCTCCTTTATCTATTGAACATTTTAAAATTGAAAAAATATTCAATTAGGCATATATAATCTCCATTAAAAAAAAAAACACCTTTTTGCACTAGTGATGGACACCCCGAAATTCAATCAATCTAGTAATGGACGTCGGTAACTCTAATAAACATAATTCAAAAAAATTCTAAAATCTTTATTTAACTATAAATGTTCAACTTATTCTTTGCAAAACTGCTAGTAAGAAGTTATGAAACATATTGATCTCAAGAGCACTATAGAAACAACAATGATAGGCATTTTAAAATTTTCTTTTGGAAACTTTGTTCATACAGTTGTCAATAGAGGGTATTGTCCTTCAATTCAGAAAAACTAGAACCTTCAAATCAACAAGGAAGCTCATTATTTACATAAAGAGTCCAACCTGTCCATCACTGGGCCCTCTGTCCATAACTTGTGCATTCACCTTAAATAAAGATTTTAAAATTTTTCTGAGATATGTTTATTACTGGTACCGACCCCCTGTCCATTACTAGAACAATTGAATTTTGTGGTGTCCATCACTAGTTCAAAAAGGTGATTTTTTAAATGTATATTATGCCTGCATAACTGAATATTTTTTCAATTTCAAAGTGTCAAATAGAAAAAGGAGACCATAGAGATTCTAAATGTCAAACTGAGAAGTTTATAACTATAATAATTACAGTGGCATAAGCCAAAAAATACAAAAATTTCCTTAGCTATTTCCATCACTGGTGCGCTTACCCTACTTCTAATTTGGTTTTTGTTTTTTGAGAAAATAAGATTCGATAAATTAATATGACCTCAGGTATGTACTGAATACTTTAGCAATAATTGTGTTATATATTAACCTGAAAAATTATATGGTTGCCACAAATACTCTTGTAATCATCAAGCAGTGATCAATTTTCCTAAATAATCAAGGGTCCTTTTAGCACTTCATCAACAGATGGATAAGACAGCCTCATTAAGCCCAATAATAATATACAACAAAAATCATGATTATTTATATTTTTGATTTATTATAACTATTTATTTAGGGTACCGAATAAATATATCCTTGAAGATATAAAATTGGCCCAAATATGGATAAGAGAACATTTCATAATATATATTAAAAACTTAAGTTAAACAATGCTCTCTTCTTTGCTTTCATAGTGAAAATGATACTCGACATATCTCAATAATAATGAAGAATATTTATTGTAATAGTATCCATAATCAGAAGAAAATATATATGCTTTTACTATTACAAAAAAGTAATTTAGGTTGCCTCAAAATACGACACTCAATCTAAAAAAGGCTTTTCAATTTTTCAACTTTTTTTCCAAGTAATTTAGTATGGTTTTCACAACATAATTTCATATTTTATTTTCAGACCATTCATTGAATATCTAAAAATCATAAATCAATAAACTGTTAAGGCTTTGTGAAATAATTTTAAAATTTAACTTTTTTGCAAGTTGTTATTTGAAATAATTTTATGCATTAAAATAAATATAAAGAATTAATGTAATAATTAAATAAAATAGAAAATTTTATCTTTTTAGAGATCAAAATTAAATTGAAATTTGACTATTACTGAAAATTATTAATTTATTATCTGTCCAGTTTCAATTAGTGCCCAAATAGGTCTGCAACTATTCTAGCTAAAATTAGTAGAAACAATATTACAGTATTTTATACATTTATACTATAAATAACTTTATTAAGAAATATTTATAAGTGGCCTGGAAGTTCTGTTTAACAATATTTAAGTCCCATAGAATCCATAAAATGCATTCAGTCAGACTGTCAACAGAAACTGCTTGAGCTCTTTACTCACCAGACACCAGCCTCTCAAAGGTCTGCTCGCAGTCAAAGATCTCTTGGAGGAGTTGCTGTACTGTGGTGGTGTTCCTCAGGTTGAACTTGAAGGCAATCCTGGCTGCAACATAGAGGACATTGTGATACTTCCCCATGAGGCAGACACGATTGTTTTTCAGCTTGCTCTTCCTGTGGAACTGAATGGCTCCCAGAATTGCTTTGTCGCATGTTTCTTCTGTGTTGTCCTTGTTCGCACAGGCCCGGATGAGAGTTGATAGGTATTCGCATAGCTGTCTGCGTCGATATCTAGACAAAAGACAGTATAAAATTATTTTATATTATTAAATTTAAAATAGATATTAACAAAAATTACCTTTAAATTATTAGAACTGTCATCACCACATATGCCGATGACACATGTATCCTATCAGTAAATAATGACCCATCAATTGCATCCCAAATGCTTCAATCACACATCATAAATTTTGAAGAATGGTGTCAAAACTGGAGAATTAACATAAACTCCAATAAATTCCACCAAATTACCTTTACCTTTCGTCCTATACCAATGACTTCCTGTCCTACAGTTTCCTTTAACAATACTCCACTTATCCCTGTTGAGCAAATCCGATACCTAGGACTCTACCTGGACAAATGACTAACTTGGAATCCTCATACTAGACTGAAACGACAAGAAACCGCTCGACGTTTCCGATTACTTCAGCACTTACTAGACAAACGCTCTAAACTTCCCATTAATTACAAAAGACTCATCTACTTGACTATAATAAGACCTATTTGGACTTACGGAGTTGAGCTATGGGGCTCCACTAAACCATCGAATTCCTCTCGCATCCAATCCTTACAATCCAAAATCCTTCGTAAAAATCCTAAATGCTCCCTACTTTGTTACAAATAAAACCATCCATAATGACCTTAATGTTTCTTTTGTTTTAGATCTGTCCCAATCCAGATACCTATCCTTCCATAATAAACTTCAGAATCATCCCAACCCTCTCGTTTCTAACCTTGCTTCCTCTTCAATTCCTGATAACCGGCGTCTGAAAAGAAGATGGCCCCGTGATCTCCTAATGTAGACATATCATTAGAGTGGTAACATTGGGAAGTTACACAGCAAGTGTTTTCATATCATTATATCCATATGTTTAAATTTACTAGATGTATTTATTTAATACAGTTGTAAATATCATTAAGAAATAATAATAAAAAAAAAATTATTATAAAACTAACTTGATTTAAATTTATGTTAAATGCTTGTCACTGTCAACAACCTGTTTTCTGCAAAAGGATGACCTATTTTTGCATTGTTTCGAATCCAAATCACAAGCAACTTTTTTTGTAACAAGAGAGTAGTGAACAGTCATATTTTTAAAGACTTTTTATATAAAGTATATCTCTTTGAATTTATAGAAGTACAGGTCTGTCAGCTACTGGTGATAGGCCCCATTATTGGGCTCCAGTAGCTGACACTCATTTAATTTCCATTTAATTCATCAAGATAAGTTATAAAAAATATAAAACATAATCCAAAAAATGTCCTTACTGATAACACGGTTGTTTCTGGGATATTAAATGGACCGTGAGGAACATTCCTGATTTTACATCCTTTATTTCGGTTACAGTTTCCAGCAAGCCTAAAGCAAAGCAGACAAACATACAAGAAGAAAATCAAAAAATTATAAAATAGAAGTTCAGAAATCTTATTTTTCCCATTTTTTGAGAAGGATGTTAGGCATCGTTACACTGTCAGCTACTTGTGATTTTACGTTACTGAAGTTCTAATAAAAGCACTGGCGGTTGAAAGGGAGGGAGGGAGGACTTTTGGGCTGAAGTACCACAAAAATAAATTCTTTTTTTTTCTTTACTTTACTCCATGTAAGTTTCTTTGAGTGATCTGATCTAAATACTTAAACAATAACTTTTGTTTTAAAATTACAATGCATTTACAGCTACTAATTGTAAACAGATGCCAGATTTTTTTTTTTTTTTTTTTTTTTTTTTACAGGAGTTCAAGGCCTGGCATATAAGATTTTATTTTTTAACTTTGTATAATATTTTTATCGCATACTTTGTAAAAGACACAAGTTCAGTTTTTGTGGAAAATTTAATTTTTGAGGGGGGGGTGCGGTAAAAAAATTATCCTCAGAGCAGGGTAAAATTGATCTTGTGGCCCTTGGTTTCTCTCCTCAGTCCTGGTAATCGATATTAAAGAAAGAAATTTGGACTCACTTAAGATCCACTAACGAAACACACTGATAGAGATCCAATACTTAGGGCCGAAACGTCGGATAACATTAAAGCCGTGTGTTCATTGAAATATTAGGAGGACCAAAAAGTAATGTAGTTTCTGAGTATGGCACTATTTGATTGTCATTTGGCAGCTCATTGTGTTTGTCTATGTCGTGGCAAAGACATTCTAAGGTTATGGTAACTTCTTTGCAAATTATTAAATTAAAAATTTTAAGTATTGCTATGCCAGATTTACAATCCCAAAAAGTCTTTTTGTGTGTTTGATGGAGTATTTTGTGGCATTGCCCATTTTGAATTTCTCCATTCACATTTGATGAAAATGTGAATGGAGACCCTTAATGTTGAAAATTGGATCGTGTAAATCGGTATTTATTTGAAAAATGGCCAGCGACTGTCAACAGAAAAGGCATTATTTTGCAACAGGAAAATGCAAGATTGCACAGCGAAAGACGAGCCCTAGCAAAAAAGAATTAGGGTGGGAAGGTACTGCCTCATCCACCATACTCGCCCGATGTTCCACCATCGGATTTCTATTTGTACGGATCGTTTCAAGTTGAAACTTTCAATAATTTCTAAATGGTATAAGATTTGCAAATTTGAATGATTTCCAAAATGACATCTATACATATTTTTCTCAAAAACCAATTGATTCTTTATTGATCCTGCTTTAAAAAATTTGAATATAAGAAACGCTGTTGATAATGGAGGCGATTCAATCAATGATTAAAAATAAAAATTAGTGTGAAATTTATGTGTTTGAATTTAATGTAAGAAAATTACATTACTTTGCAGTCCCCCTAATACAACTCTTGGACAATCATTTTAAAAGTGAAAATTCACTAATGTTCATTTGATAAAATTACCAACGTTAGTTGGTCCAATATTATTTCTAAAAGTGAATGGGGCATCAGTGAACAAAAGCAGCTTGACTTCTTCCGCGAAGTTTTTCCCAAATAATGGGTGGGGTTGATGTTAAGGGTTAGTACCCTGCCCAGTTGATAGCCCCATTCCCACTTCTTCCTCCACAGGAAAAAGAATGGTCAAAGATCTACCTAAATAGACATCGCTTTGTTTCTTAGATGTCCGATGAAGTCAGACTTTTTTTTTTCTGGTCAAAGGGAAGGTGTAAGTTTATTTTGTTTAAAATATAATTTGAGGCACTGCCTTATATTTTAGATGCTAAAATTAAAAAACTCATTACTTATGAGAGGTAAGTATTTGTATGAAAATTCATATATATTTTTTTTTTTTTTTGGAGGGGGAGGGAGGGGGATAATTTTACGAAACAAACCATTCTAAATCTTTTGGAAAAATTTTAAATTGTATTTAGCCAAAATTCAGTTACTGTGCATATTTAATATACTTCAACTGATGAAGTTATATTTTGTTGTAAATAAGTAAAATGTAAATAAAATATTTTTTTATTTTATGAATTTATCCTAAATTTATGAAAAGATAATAATAAAAAGGGTCAATCATTATCGGGGATGATTTTTATGAAAATACAAACAGTTTTAAGATAGCACACGTTCATGTGCGACATTTCCAGTGACAGTATTTACAAAACTAATACTTTCGTTAATCCATTAAAGAATTTGAGTATCGAATAAAAGTTCTCAATCAAATGTGCTATTAAAAAATCTGTTACATGAATATTTTTTATTGAATAATGAATAAAATAATTATAATCAGTTTATTTTTCTACGAATAACCAATAAGTTTATTATTCTTTAAATATGTCACATTTCTATTTAATAGTTACTATAATACAATTTCTTCAACTATTGGTTGTATCTCTTTACACTCCAAGCCCAGTCAATATTTGTTTGGAAGTTAAGTGATTGGCCACTATAACGGAGAGCTGTGTGGACAGAACAAGCAGATCTCTCCACAACTAAATAAATTAACTAATTTCCATATCAGTCGGCAATTAATTTTATTTTTGATAAAATGAACTTATACTCCCTTTGCGTCTTGGATACTAATAAAAGAAAAATTAACCATCCAAAATTCGCAAAAAAAAAAAAACTTAATAGAAACTGCATAAAAGATCTAAGTATGTACTTCTAACCCACATAACTCTACATTAATTTAATTTATTTCATAATTTTTTCTCCAAAAAACTTCATTTTTTTCAATTTCACTTATTTATATATGTAATATAAAATAATTGAAAGTATTGCGATCCTGAAATTTTTTTAATCAGAGTTTTCAACGGAAATACACATTTTGAGGTCCCCTGACTCCAGTCCAGAAAAATCTTCTGCCTGTATGTGAACAGTCTAGCTCAAAAACGAAAAATCGTACGAAACTGATATTACATATTTAACATAAGTATATGTCATAGATGTGACAGCAACTTTTTCCTTGAAATCGACTGACCAGAAGTGCCACTTTATATCAGCGGTGAAACACATTTTTACAATCTTCAAAAACGGCTTTAACGATTTTGATTAAACTCAGTATCGTTGTATAATTAAGTGGTCTTTAATATCACTTAGGTTTATCCACATTTATTTCACTTTACAGGACTTAAATTTCCAATTTTCATATACGTCTTCCTCTAAAGTATCTTTTATGGTATATTTAAAAAAAAATAACTCTCTTTATTGACAGCAACTATAAAAAATGGCTAAATATGAAGTTTGAAAGAATATAATAATCGGAAACTCGAGAAAAGAAGAAACATTCTTATCCACGTTGAAAATGAATCTCCGAAAATAACAGTCAGAAGGAATACGTTTAATATATCGTTGAAAAGCGATGAATTGTAGAAAAAAAAATAATATTAAATAAAAAAATTGTAGAAAGTAACGGAGAGTGATGAAAAAATATCAATAACAATTACAGAAAACTAACATTATTTAACGTAAATCACATGTTTCCAAGAAAATTAAATGTAAACTTTTAAATTTTTTTTAAGTTTGAAAAAAAAGTATTTAAAATCCACCGAATCAAGCCAATGTCATTGTTTAAAATACTATTTCATTGTGAAAGAAGAAGTGAAGTATTTAATGGACATGTTTATAACCTTACATACATTTACTATAGTTCAGTAACTATAGATATGATATTATATTTGAATAATTAGGTATCTATTGGCCGCTTATTCCAAAAAATTATAGGGTACTTTTTTGAAAATTACATTAGTGAATAATTTGATGAATTTTCCCTTTGCGAAATCCCAACATTATCCAATTACGATCAGTGTAACAACTTTTGACCTATCCAGGCAATGAAAATCTCGTAATTTAATTTAATAGTTTAATAGTCCTACAATCGATAATTATTTATAGGTTAAATATTCAGATATACTTTCAAATCTCTGTAGGAATAGATATGTTTTTCGGTTGACAGAATGACCAAATCCAATTTCAAGATTCTTTATTTTTAATTTTAGTGATGTTTCTAGTGGCAAAATTTATATCTTTATTCACAGTTCTTTATTTAAACATTGCAATCACCCACTCTGGAATCAACTTACTCACTGTCTGTATAGATGCAATTTTTTTAAATTAGAAATATCACTAAAATGACATTACACAAAAATGTTGAAATTGGAGTTAGTCAGCAGATGGAGTAATTAGATTTTTATTGCCTACCATCGATATAATAAATAGACTTTTTGTAATTCTAATGGTCTTAATAATTTGTTATCTGTGGGCTTTAAGCTTCAGATACGTTTAAAATGTAGTTCAAAAACTAATAGCCCAACATTGCCAGAAAATAATTTATATTCAAAGTAGAGCGGTAAGTTTAAGTTTTGTGTTGCACGCACCAGATTTTTTTAAATATGAGATACTAACCAACTATACTAGATTTGTTAGAATCAAAAGCAAGTCTTAAGAGAGGTCCCTTGGGACCTGACTTGGGGTCTGACCACAGATGAGACTTTGGGACTTATAAAAGTACTTATAAGTTATATGATATTTACTGAAACGGATGACGCAGATTCATTATCACTCTAAATTTAAATATCTTATACTGTCTTATTATAAGAGGACTTAAGAAACTTTGGAGTAAAAAGTTTCTTCTCCAAAAATAGGATAAAATTTAAAAATAATTGTCAACTTACTTCTTAGGGCCATGACCCTCATCCACAATAGTGTGCTTCCTCTTCCAATGATTTCTAATCAGCCAGAACCAAGAACATCCTGACATGACGAAGTTTTTAAGTAAGCGACGGCCAACTTAGGAACATTTTCTATCTTCCATACAAGACGTACGCATTAATTTTAAATTATGAATTTTAACCTTTAAAACTTATATTTGAATTTAACATTTAATATTTGAATTTAACTTTTAATTTATATAACTTTCAATTTACTACATCAGATGTAACCTATAGTTTTAAAAGTGCTTTTCGGTTTTACTTTAGAACGTTCTTAATAATTTAAAAGGCAAACGTATCTTACTTTATTGCAGATAAAATAAATATGTATATATTACGAATGTATAATGCACGAATAGGAAGTAAAATGCCAATTAAATTTCATTGAGGTAGTACGAACAAAAGTTAAAAGATAATACTGCATCATGACACCACCAGAGGTATACTGATACGTCATAACAACTTAACTTTATATAAATAAATAAATAAATCGAAGTAAATATTTACGGCGAATTAAGGATTATTCCAATACTAGCTGCGGCGATCAGCAGTTGTTTTATTACATAAAAACATTATAATTGTTGGTGATGATTTTACTATCTACTTTATATTAATTACAATTATATGGTAGTATATATTCATTTTACGGATTTCAGGAACGATTGTTTCCACAATCGATAGTCGATATTGTCGAAATACCTATATTTTTCTTCAAATATTCGATATTTTACCATCCATAGTATCTACTTCGATATTATAGACTATCAATATCGTCGCTTCGATGTTTTAATATTTTAATTTAAAAATAGAAATTAAAGCAATCGTTTTTGGAAAGCGCTAGGAATTATATATGAATCTGATCGTTAGATACAAAAATATACTCATCTTGCTTGTTTCATTTAGAATTTTGTGCGTAATAAAGGGAAATATCGATATTTCAATAATATCGACTACCGAAGGCAATCTCTAAGTAGAGTTGAATTCCGCGCATGGGATCCCTCTCAATCAGTAAACTCAATTTGCCCAAATTTTTTAATTAGAACCTTCTCAAAACAAGGTCACGAGTTGTCAAAGAAAACTCCGAATCCGATCTATGGGTGAAATGAAGGCATAATAGGATGAATTGAAATTTCAGGGAAAAAAAAAGAAAAAAAAAAAAAGTTGAGGGTGATTACAAAGATGGACAGTAACTAGAAAATTGAGGTGAGTAGAGGAATTGATGTATCCATAATTAATTTATCGAGGAAAATAACATCTTCTTAGATGCGCCGACGTGCTAGAGAATCAATATTCATACTGATATTCATATTTAAAAAATGTTTATAAAACATTTTTGATTATTAAATTTAGCAATATTTCTATTGGGAGAATTTATAACTTTATTCACAGTTTTATATTTCAACACTGCAATCACCTTCTCAGAAATCAACTTACTCGTTGCCTGTACAGATATTATAAATTTTCCATCTAGAAATATCATTAAAATGACGTTGAAATTGGAGCTAGTCATTCTGTCAACTGAAAGGCTCATATGTCGTATAAGTTTAAAAAATTGAAATGTTTCTTTTTGTTATAATATAAAATTATAAATCTATTAAAAAGTTTAAAATCTATTAAAAACGGAGTAGGATAGTCCTAAGATCTCTTGGACATCTCGAGTAATACAATATTTATAGCAAAGACGTTTTGTGAACATGTTTTAATTTAATGGGACGTTAATATCACCATAGTGGCTGTGAAGTTACTATACATGACCGATTTCCTTACTTCACCCTCAATAAGTGAGTGGATAATAGACTTTTTTTTCATATCCTAAGAGGATAAGAAAATTTAGATTTTCGAATATTTAACTTAATGAGATGTAGTCTCATGGACTGCACAAATCGTATGCATTTTAAGGGAGTTATGAGGAGTTTAAAGGTTTTAAAAATTAACTGCTAAATCTTTAGTCTACAAGTTGTCTTACATCGGTGGATAATAGATCACACTTATCTATAACTTATATATTATTATTATTATACTATAAATATATTAGGAATGCGCAGGATAAATATCAACTACGAAATCCTCACGCACAGATATACTATTTTTTTTTCAATTTAAAACTAAAAAAAAAATTAAAACTTGGGTTTTTTTTTGTTTTTTTCTGTTTTTGTTGTTGGGTATGAACACAATACCTTTCAAACTCATTAAATGAAATATTCAAGTTGAACTTATGTTTGTTTGTTTCAATGTCTAGGCGCAAACATCCATGTCATCAGCGCCCGATCAACTAAATAACACTGCTTTTATACTATTCAGGTGGTTGGTACAAAAAAAAAGAAGAAGAATTAATAGAACAAAATTAATAAATAATGATAATAATAGACACTTATAGATAATAAGTTAGAATAGATAAATAAATAAACTAAAATTAAATAGCAATAAATGAACAGAAATTAATAAATCAAAGAACTTTTAAAATTAAAAAATAATAAATAGATCTGCAAAGGATCGTTAGTCATAAACTTGTCATATATGTTTTATATTTTTTTTATTGCATAGGAACTTCATAACTTTGGTAAGGATTTCTTCTTGATTTCCCAATTGAACTTATGTTGTCCAATCAACCAATTTTTAACCGAATGAATTTACAAAAAGGTTTACTTTTTCTAAACATATACAAAATTAACTATTTATTATTTTACAATAATATATACACTATATTACAAAACATATATACCATTGACTATAATTATAAATACAATAAAATCGGTGTTATGTACGTCATTTCATAACTTCATTTTTATTTTTAGAAAATACTTAAATCTTCTAAAACACCAGAAATCTATCTAAAATAAAATAAAAAATAGCATCCAAAGTTTTTAGTAAGTCTATTTAATATTTTAAATTTTAGTAGCGATCAATATAATAATCGTGTGCACTTATATAATAGATTTCCTTATATTGATCACCAATTAAACCACGAATTTTCTTCAAATTCACTTCATAACAAAATTAAGTTATGTTTTGTTTGTTTTTTTAAGATAAAACTTTGAAAATCATTATATAATAACACTAACAATTTCACTCTGGAACAAAGCCCTTTAAGAAAAACATCTGTGCACAGAAAATAAAGATTATATAACATTAAATCATAAACATATTTACAACAAATAAAAATAGATAACAAGTAAATCAGATAAATTTTGCTTCAAAGTTAAAGGATCTTTCGGTTTTGTCATTAGGGATTTTGGATTTGTCAGCGAGTGTTTGGAATCTTTTGATATGTACCTCCATATTTATTTTTGGTAATTACCACCATACTCGAGATTTTTTTTTTAGCATCGTAAAAGCTTAATTTGTGACCCCTTGAAACTTTTTAAACCAGCGTAAACATTTCAATAACGGTCCATTGTAACATTTTTTTTATCCTCAAAAATATTGTTTCGGTCCTACTGTGCGGTTTTTGTATCGGTTCAGCCAAAATTCTTTCCAAGTTTTAAAAATGTTTTTTGTTTTCCTTTAATTTTTACTCCTATTTTTTGTCAGTACATAATTCCAATATTTATTGAATGAACTTAGTTAACAGCTGGACATGCATCTATTTTGTATATATGTCTAGTATTTTTATTTGTATTTACTTATTGTTATTATTTCAATTATTTATTATTATTTTACATCCTGGTAGCATTTCAATGTATTTACCACTGTTTTTCTCAAGCTCAATTCGCAACTATGTATAATTTCTTTTAAAAAATAGTATATTTAAATGTTATTATTTGGTAAATGTATCTAATTTTTTATTATATTTTATTTCATTATTTTTATAAAGACAAAATTTCTTTGAAATGTTAATTATCTTATTTAAATTTATTTGTTTAAATTTTTACACTAAAATGCGTAATAGTATAACTAAAATATAAACTACATTCATACTTATAATATGCAAATTCGTATGGAGTTTGTTACTTAGCTAATAAGACTTGGACTTTATATTTAGCTAATATAAAATGAATAAACTCCTCCTGCGTAGGGTTACTATCCAAGAGAAATATGACAAAATTATAGACAGAAAAATTAATTATTTATTTGAACGTTTTAACCCTAACTTTGATTGGCCAAGAACAATGCATTATGTTTAAATGTGTTTGTTTGTTTTTTAAAAGAATATCTTATTATTGTAGTATTTCTTTCCAACTATCAATGATGAACAATGGATATGCCGATTTCAAATAAAATGCACAGATGTCAGAAATTCATTTCATTGAATTTCGTCTTATTTGGCAAGTAAACTGAACAAAACCAGTTAATAAAAATCATACTGAATGATACAAAAGCCACTTAACTTGTATCGCTGTAGATACGCCAAATTATGAATTAAAATTAATATTACAAATTAATAAATATTAAAAATTATCTCCATAAAAGATTTTTTTTTAAATTGTTTGCCAAGTTAAGGGTTAAAGTAGAACTTCCTCTACGTACCCCGCATAGAGACAGTCCCTCTCCCATTCGCAGAAGACGTCCTGGAAGAAATGTGCCATTACTTCCTCCATGGTGGCAGACTGCTGGTATACCTCACGTCCACGGCTTCCCATCGTCCGATTACCTCCTAAGGTTTCTTGGCTTAGTGTCGTCATCCGGCATGAGGTCTCTTGTCGATAAAGTAGATGTTCGGGTATAGCACTTTGTTTGGATCATAATTGTTCCGGATGATTCCATTTATAGAAGTATATAAAATACCAAAGGCAAAGTTGACATGCATAAATTGTTGTCGGTCGTCGGACCATACAGACCTTGTGAATATAGAGCTATTATATAATCACAGGATAATGGGGAGTGCTGTTGGGATAATTTATAAGGTAGCAATAAAGCGAAAAAAAATCCAAATATGGCTTGAAAGTGAAGCGTAAGATTGAGGATACCACATCCAAAGCGTGTAAAAGGCGAAGCGTGCTTTTAATTTTTCAAGGCGCCGACTAAAATAGATTTATTTATTATGAATCATATCATTAATAAAACCAATGTCAGCATCGAAAACTATCATTCACGTTTTAAGTATTGGACATCAAGAAAAAAATAATGCTCCGTGTATGTTTGTCTATTGTCGAATACATGTGACGAGTTTATTATCATCTACCACTAATTCGATTTTGATAAAATTTTCAGGAATAGAATAAGTTGGTATCTAAATGGTTCCGTATCAATTTCACCCTCTACTTCTGGTTCCGGATGCGCAATCCCATTACGACTCGCCTGTATGTCAAAATGGATGGTTCGAGGAACTAGACTCCAGGTTAAAGAGATTAGTAAAACAAGTGATTCAGTATTAATTTTATAAAATTTCGTCCTTTTACAGCGCTTACGATGTTTGTACTTTGACTGAATCTACATTTTCGGTTATATATGGTTGTTTTCCAATCATTTTCTTCAAATGAGCTTCATTTATTTTACAAATCATGTTTCCCCATGAAAAAATTGAATAGAAAAGTTGTTTCAAG